GTTTACTAAAAACAGCTTATGCAGTTAGTGTAATCTATCTATTATGCTAATCGTTTCTCTTTTCGTTTTCCAAAAAAAAAAAAAAAAAAAAAAAAAGCAAACAAAAAAGCAAACAAAAACATTTTGCAAAAGTAAACTTATAATATAACAAAACGATTTAATATTCTACAATAAACAAAATTAATATTAAAAAAAAAAATGATATCTAAATTATTATTTAATAATAATAATAATAATGCATCAAAAAATGTTTATATAAATATAAAAAAAAGGATCGTACCTCTTACGCCGTGGCTCGTCTCCATATCCACTGTACTCATGATTCTGAAACAAAATAAATGTAAAAAGATTAATAAAGAAAATTTAAAAAAAAAAAACATTAGAGATAGACGTGTAATATTTAAATGAAATTAGAGTTTTTAGATCGAATCAAGTTCATTGATAAAACAATTTCAAATCCAAATCGTTCCTTTCGAATTCACGCGTTGAAAAAAATACGTGTCCTAATAAATCCTTTTTTTTTTGTTTTATTTTCACGGCATATAAAATATGAAAGTTAGAAAAAAAAAAAAAAAAAACTTTAATTAAATATAACCATTTAATTTATAGATTAATAAATTATATCCTTTTGAACGAAATATAAACCAAATATTATTTTTACCATAACTGAGAAGAATTATGCACGAATAACATCTCTCATTGTTATAAATAGAAAATTCTTTTTTACTATATTCTCTTGTTACTCAACGAAATATGAATTAAATGTTAGTTCAAACGAATTGGTTATTACAATGATTTGCAAAATATTCAAATGATAAGATACACATAAGTATATACACATAAAAAAAAAACTATTGATAAGTTTAATTTTAAAATATATGTCGGATTTTGATTAATCATCATACTAAACAATTATTATTACTAACAAATCAATTTGTTAATAAACTTAAAACTTGTCCTACTCTATATATTTTTTATTTTTATTCAACTTAATGTTCTTAAAATTTGATATATTTACTTTAGTTTAATATTTATTCCCTAGGTATAACAATTCCCCAAATTTGTCCAAAATTTTTTTTTTCCTACTCTATTTCTTTGATATTCGATCAATCTCTAGGCTACTCACGATAAAATAAGTGTACGTTTCGTGACTAAAAGAAGCTACAATAAGTTCTATCATCCGAGAGTAAAAAGAACCCTAAAAGGGTACTTGACTGAGGAACGTGACTATACTATAGTGTTACGACCTAGTTCTAATGTTATCGAAACAAACGAATATTCAGAAAAAAGTGGTATATGATCAATCATGTTGAACCTAGTAACCCGACAACAGGTAGTAATAATACTAATAATCATAACATTGTATTGATAACGGTAAACGAAACGTCAGAAGTATAAATTTCACAGTTCAGTATCACGCAAACCATTAATTCATATTCCGTACGCATTTAGTGAACAATACGTGAAGCAATTTGAACCTATTAGTGCATCATCAGTGAATTGAATTATTTTAATCGTTTTTTTTTTCGACGTTTCCTCCTCCTACCTTTCGATGGAAAAAAAACTTCATTAGAATTTCTAATTAGAAATAAAAATATTCCTACAAAATTTCATTTTAAATAGTCAAATAAAATACACGACATATTACGGACAATCGTCAAAGTTGAGAATCTCGGATTTAATGAAGTTAGTTACGTATTTGGGTCTAGAAATGCAAATAGGTTAATGATAGCCAACTCGTTTCAACACACAAATGTAATCCATAATTCATGTAATAATAACAACAACACAAAACAACTAAAGTGGTTATATTATGTTACATTTAAAAGAATAACTTCGTGCATCGTAATACTTCTCAATTACATGTGATCAAAATATTTTTAATTTATCCTCCACAAAGGATTTCATTTGTTTTTCCCCTAAAACTTGGATTTAATAATAATCAAAAATTTATTCTAAATATCGTTTTAATATTTGACACGTTCTAAAACAATAACACAGGCTATACAAATTGGAATACACAAAAAAAAAAAGCGTATTGTATTGTATACTTGAAATGATTATGTTTGTGAATATTATGTTGACGGTGTATTGGTGATAATGATAATGATGATTCGTATAGCAATGTTAATGTTGATGATGATAACATTACCGAAAAAGCTTTCCATTCTCCACGGGATTTTCTTTTGTCAAGTGGTTGACGAAAGTATTGATCCGAACCGGTATACGAAGAGAAGGCCATCACGAGGATTTTTGGTCAAACTTTTTCGAATTTCAGATTAATCGATCGAAATCGTCGGAAGATAGATAATCCGAGAAGAGAAGCACGCACGTAACTCGGTAATTTCTTTATCGGCGCGTCATTTCCTAAAAAAACAGTTCGACAGAGTTTCAGATCAATTGCAGCAATATATCTTCGAGATTAATAACAACATTTTCAATCTTACAATATATTTACAAAGCAAATTTTTTTTTTCAACAAGTGTTTTATTATTCAAAAAAATTTTCTTTATATTTTCATAATAAAAATAATATATCGATGATCTTACAAGAGGGGGGAGTCATTTTGGAACAAATTCAATGATTTTTTTTCTTATACGAATGGAGCGTGTACATTTTTTTTTTTTTTTTAGAATATAATAGAAAATATTTTTTTTTTCAAATTGATATAATCGAAATAGAATATAAATAATTTTTCATACTTGATTAAGTAA